TTAAGTTCCTGATTTTCATCAATAATGTATGTCTCCAAGTATTATTTGAATACTCGCCTTATCTTTCAAATTTTGTAGTAGATGTTTGACTGCGTTTAAACGATAAGGAAAATTGCCTTTCGAATGATATCCATTCTATTTATTAACCTTTGGATCAAAGTTCCTTGGTTCACATATAAATAACTCTTCCAATAACTCTTTATTTATGTCTCGTTTCTTCTAATCAACCCTACATTTTGACGGGTGATTTTCTTTTTACCTTTTACATTATAGAGAAGTTAGCTGATTTACAAAAACAAGTAACTCAAACAAGCAAAAATGTTATAAATCGTACACAAAAGTGGCGACGTCTGTCAACTGTACCATCTACAGATTGTGATGTTGTAGTAATATTTAAAACAGAACTTTCCGAAGAGATTGTCGACTGGCTGATAAAAATTATTAATAACCGTGTACCTCAACTGGTCATACATAAACAGTTTCACCGCACATCAAGGCAGTATGCGCTTTATTTAACTGCTTCATATAGGGGGTAAGTTGGATTTATTTTTTAGGTACCTCGTATAGTTAATATCTAGGTGTAAAATTTATGTCCATATATTGATAATTCCCTTATATGACGCTGTCGTCTTGGTAACACTATTTTTCCATTGAAGTTGATCTAATTATATGTATAATCACTCGCAAAACTTAATATTAGGCTTAATGTTTGGTTTTAAATCAAATACTTACTTTCATCAGGACAGGTGACGAATTTCATGAATAAAGTCTACTGGAGTTCACCTAGTTCATTTCATGTGATCCGTTCGCTTTTATCTATCGTACCTAACTCATTACAGTTATGCTTTATTTTATTTCTATGGGGACATATATGAATTCAAGTACAGACTTACAGTTATTATTTAATAAATGTTTTCGTGAGTCAGTATTAATTAGCTTGTAGCTTAAAGTGAATACAATCATTTTAATCCAATTTTTCAAAAATATTAAATAAAGTTTTTGCCTGAATTTAAAACATAAAAACAATAATTCTCATCACTAATGCCGTTTTAATAAATTGTTTTTAATATACATAAGATAACAAGTTGGTCTGTGCAATTTGATTTATAAGACATCAATGAATATAAATTGGTAATTGATCATTAATGCTTTCAAAATATTTCCTTGCTTTTGTAGAATTAAGAATTAAATTATCTTGATCTAATGTGATTAATATAAACTGATTGGGGAGATGGCGTTTCGGCATCAGCTAAGTTAATTGGACTATATCACTGTTTAGACTTGATGTGTTATATTTCATTGTAGTCAATACAAAACAGAAGGCTGATCCATAAAATGGTGTTATTTATTGAATTGAGTTTAGTTTGGAGATTCGAACCTTCTCATATTTTGTAAAATGGCGGAAATCAATATTTTTTGAATCGGAAGAGATGTATATTTAAATTTGATACTAGTAGCAGTGAATGTATAGTTTTTTGTTCTTCTTCCGACATCGATCACCAATTCACTCTAGTTACACTTTTTCCATATTCCGTTACCTTTTGTTTAGTTACTTTGTATAACTCTTACTGAATTCTTTTCCTTGCACTGTTCTGACTCTTTGGGGAACTTTAAACAATACACTATTATTCTGGAGTTCAACGTTTTTACAAATTTTCAGTTAGTGATAAATATGCTGAACAAAATATATCGGTTAATAAAGCACCAGAAAGATTGATAGTTTTGTTTAGTTAGTGGCTATTTGGACTCAGTAGCTAAGTGAATAACGCGATGGTGTTTGAAGCGAATGGTACTGGGTTCGAATCTCTGAGTGAACATCAACTCTGGATGCAGGTACACCCAGATGATGAGTACCGAACAGGACGAAACGCGCGTCCTTGGTTCCACTACTAGCCACCATCTACCTCTGCTTATAATGCTTGTGATTTGTGGCAATATCGAGGCAATCTGTACAGGATGCACATTCCAGTAAGAAACTGACGAGTTGCAATCTTAAATATCAATGGGAAGATTCAAACAATCGATGCAAAAATGAATTAAGATAAGTGATTGTTTAACAAACTAATGCAACTTGTAGGAACTATTTTATAGATTCCAACCAAATTACTGAGTGTCGAACAGTTTTTCATTTACATAAATGTGATAAAACCACTGTAATACACTTTTGATTATTTTATAGGTTATTCAAGAGCGAAAAAAGATTAACAAAACTAATCTCTTGATTGTTTTTGTAAAAACAGTGCAGTATTTTACATAGTTCAAACTTATTCTTACAAAATCTTTGATACTTGGTTAAATTTTCAACAGTATTTTTACATTCTTGTCTATAAAAAAAGCAGAATAACATTTTACTATTACGCGATATTTATAACAAATGGAAATCATCTAGTGCCTAAAAATTCATTGACTAAATTGTAAATCATTTTTGTTGTTACACTTGCACCACTTACTATCTTGAGAAATCATAATATGTGAAACAAAAGCTAAACACCGGTTATTAATTAGTAGTCATTCTTCCAAAATATCAGACTAATACATATAAGGCTTCAAGCATACACAAATCCTTCGCGCCAAAATTTAGGAAGCAGATCTAACTATTCATTTATTATGTACACATATTTTATGATCAAGTACATTCGGGTATTAATCCACAAGTGTACTTAACTCTTTCAAACAAGAACGATGATTTTTTCTAATCTTGATTTGTTTTTCTGTTTTACCTCAGTAATTAGTCAACCAATATGTGAATAAATTTGATTCTCGAACTGTTTTAAACCTTAATTACTACTAAATTAGTAAACATGATCATTAAAATGGTTAAATCTCGTGATTACACTTGTTTTCTAAATAAGATTTCTATGGAAGATATAATGATCTTTGTTGTTTTTTTTGGTAGATAAAAAGAATTGTTGATGATTAATGATGCAACTAAATAACTGAGTAAATGTTCGTTTATTAGGCTTTAAACTAAACTTTATGTAAGATATGATAATATTACCTAATTAAACGATATTAAGTTCAGTTTGAACTAATAATAAAACTGTTGAGTAGTTCATCAGTGAGTATGCACAATACTTGTTAAACCACTTTTTAACTGTTATTCATATATTTTGTCTGATATAAGATCAATATAGTTGTTTTCCTCACAATGAAATTCATATAAGTAATATGGATTGATAGTAATATGTAAATGAGAAGTCAATATTATTGTTCAGAGTACATCAAGACATTTTGACTATCAAGATCAAAGTGAATTCACTGTTTTCAAAATGAGCAAAAACTAAGAAATGCATCTCATAAGAATTTGTATGTTAATTAATTACATAACTGTATCCAAATGATCTATATTCAACAAAAATTTATTGATACATAAATAAAAGTCTTGAATTCTTGTTTCACCTTTGGTTTATCTGTTATTCTGTCATCTATGCTTATTATCGTAATCTCAAGGATTCCTTATACGAATGAATTTTTCTAAAAATAGTGTTTATTTCCATTCCAACTAAATAGTTAAGTATGTAAAAATGGTCCAACTTATCATTTGAAATGAAAATAGTTTAAAGCAGAAAATAATCTGTTTGGCAATATAATTGATACAATCTGTAAAACCAATTTTACAGTTATTCAATGTATATAGTAGTTTGTTAAAATTTTTAGCAGTACTGTGTCATGAAGTGTGACAAAGTAATCAGTATTAATAAGGTGTTCAAAAATTGAGCCATTGACTAACTTGTATTCTTTTACCGACAGAGTAATGATTAGATATATGTTTAGAAAACACTTCACTCGTGCATTTAATGTAATCTCTTCCACAAATCTGTGGTTAGACATTTGTGTGGCTCAAAACAGGAGTTCATCTTCTACATATTAATCATAGGCCAATTGAAAATAAAATATGAAGCTCAGCATGATTTAATGCTTTCTTTTAAAGATTTCGGAAATCTGTTTCTCAAGGTCTCTTATATAATATCGGATTAAAAACTAATGTTCATGGAAAGAATCTTATACTGACTGTACAAGATCTTTCATGTTGTTGTTCTTAACTTCAATTTCCTGTCAATAAGACTAAGGGATAGCTATTTTCAATGGGGATTTGCCGAAGTTTATTCACACTACTTATCAGTTTGTTTTGTATGATTTAGAAATGCACTCATTTACCTGAAAAAGTTCTGTTTTATGGTTAAAAATATAATAGCGAGTCAGTTATTAAATGAATTCTATTGTAGTGGCTCTACTGCATGAATATTTGGGAAGCGCACTTTCACATGCTTTAAGCTTGGAATATGTCCGGAACTACATTGAAAGTTTCAAAATCAAATCATCTTGCTCAGAGAATACAGTACTGTATTCATCTGAGCTTCAAGTCTTCTCTATCATTTTATTTATATCCATGTTGCTATACTTCTGATTATTGATATAAACTATACATTGTTAAATTATTTGCTTTATATAGTTCAGTTTTACATTCTTGTTTCTAAAAAAAGTAAAGATTAGTGATACAATCAAGTTGTATAAATAGAGTATGTGTATTTAGGTAAATATTTTTCTAATTGTCTATATTATTTAGTTAATACATTCTTCGACTTATTTTTTATTATTTGACCATAAACTGTATTCAATTGCTTTGAATTCTTCATATTGCATATATAAGTACAATAAACACGTAATTAATGGTTACATTATTGAGTTGTAGAATAAATATTGAATGTATTGTTCACATGATATACACCACTGTCACCTGAGCAACACAAAATTTTAATAAATCCAGTCTTTCTAACAGTTTTGGGTTATTATTATTATTATTATTATTATTATTATTATTATTATTATTACTATTATTATTAGTAGTATTTACTTCCAAACTAATAATTGTCTTAAAAATTATTCTAAGATTAATTACTATTTTAATGAGAATGTAGTGTTTTACGTTTTGCTAATTCAATTGTTCATGTGTAAAATGTAAGAATATTTTCAAACTATTAGAATTGTGCTTAGTGTGGGTATATCACCTGGAAGAAATAACGAATACTCTGTTAGTGGTACTGATTTTCAAAGTTATGCGCCTTATGTTTCATTGATTTAGAAAATTTGATATAAAAGAATAGAAATTTACAAATACGAAAGGTTAAGCTCTCCTAAATTTTTCTCTTATATAGAAAAAACGTCATTTAAGAACATGTAACACTCAAACTTGAAAAAGAAGTAATAAAACCTTTCAGCATGAAAGCTTCAGTGCAGCGAAATCTGAAAAACTTCAATAAGTCTAAACTTCCCTTAAATATGATGTGATTATTTTCAAGATTATAGTATAGTGAAGGAGAACACAGGTGAGGACAACCGACTTGTATTTAGCACAAAATTACAGAGTTACTTGGTAAGATAGAAAAACCATATAGTAAATCGTTAATTTGCAAAATATTAATCCATCAAATCAAACCGGACTGTTCCTGTTGCAAACATCAATCCATTGTCTCACATTTCACTGTTCATGCCCTCTTTCTTACAAATTGCATTATGTTGTCGCTCTTCCTTTCTTGATCTTCTCCCATCTTCTGCTACCAGACATTACGTTTTATAACTCGCGTCATATACTACTTACATCGATATAAGTAGCACGCACCACAACAGTTTGTAAGACCAAACAATATATTGTAAAACAAGTGATTAACTATGGGCCCCTCAGAAACGTGTTAATGAGAAATAAAATTGAGGTTCATGCATGTGTCCAATTCTTTATCTGTAAAAAGCCACATTTTAAATCGATTTTTATGGACTATCCTAACTTTGTGGAGCTAAAGTAGTTATTATTAGGAATATATTGTTTAATCACTAAACATTTTAAGACCATCAATACTGCATAGTGTAACAATGCATAAATTCACAAAAAACCAAATAAATTAAAATCCTAACTTTACTTAAATACGTCTGTTACCCATCGTGGAGGAGCATAGGTTGCCCATCAGTATTCTCCATCCAACTCTGTTCTGGAAAATCCTTTCCACTTGTTCCAGTTGCTATCCATCATTTTAATGTCTGCTTCCAATTCCCGACGTGTTGTGTTCTTTGACCTTTCTCTTTTCCGTTTCCCTTCAGGATTCTAGGTAAGCGCTTGCTTCGTGATGCAGTTTGATACTTTATGTAATTTATATCCTGTCTACCTCCACTGTCTTCCCAATTTCCTCTTCATTTGGAAACTGATTTTTTTCTCTCTCTCACAGTAGGCTGTTGCTGATGGTATCCGGTCAGTAGACATTGAGTATCTTGCGTCGACAACTGTTTAGAAATACCTCTACCATTTTGATGATAGTTGTGGTAGTTCTCCAAGTTTCAGCTCCGTAAAGTAGAACTGTCTGTACGTTTGTATTGAAGATTCTTACTTTGATGTTGTTTGAGAGTGGTTTTGAGCTCCATATGTTCTTCAACTGCAGGGATACGACCATTGCTTCGTCGATTCTCACCTTTGCATCAAATCCTCCTTGTTTATTGATGATGCTGTTCATGTATGTGAAAGTTACCACCTCTTCCAGAGCTTCACCATTAAGTGTGATAGGGTTGGCGTTCTCTTTGTTGCATTTGAGGATGTTGCTTTTAACCTTGGGTATTTCGAGGTCTACTGTTGTAGAGGCTTCTTCTACAATGGTTGTTTTGACATGCATTTGTTAGTGTGTATTGGATAGAAGGGCTAGGTCATTTACGAAATCTAAATTGTCTAGCTGCATCGAACCTCCAAATGCTGTGATTAAATTCAAACTTCAATGAGTGAAACACCTTATCAGTTGAATCATAATTTATTTACACTTATTAATAACATCTTATCACCGAAAGAAGTACACCATCTTCCCTTCGGATGATTTTATGCACTAACGTATTGTTGTACTAAACTTCATACTACTTTATTTATGAAAAGCTAGTAGTAGTATGTTCTTACAATGTTTATCTTTTGAAAATAAAGTCTACTTACAGGTGCTGAAGAATTAAGAATTAAAAAGTCTCTATTACCTGAACATGGTGGTGGCTTACGTGAATTTTCAGTTGATGAATTCAGTTTATTCGATAATGTAATGGATGAGAAACTTTTTCTGTCAACCAGTGAACGTAGTAATATTGTTCATCATTTTCTGATGAGTTTACGTGCTTGTCGCGAAGATTCCGATATGTGTTCCATTAAATTTGCTAATGATCAATGTATGAGTAAGTTCCGTGATTTAATTTAAATCAGAAATAGTTTTCTCCAAGGCATATTTTGCTATTATAAATGATTTATTTTTATGTCAATCTAAAATATCTTATTCAATATTATAAGCAAAGATGGATGGTGGCTAGCAGTGGAAACCCGGACGCATGTTTCGTCCTATTTAGGACTCGTCAGCTGGGGATACCTGCATCTCAGAGTTGATGTTCACTTTGAGACTCGAACCTAGTACCGTTCGCTTCAAAAACCATCGCGTTATCCACTTACCTACTAAGTCCTAAAATAACAATGGGAAGATAGAAGAAAAAACAACACCTCAAAAGTAATTATTCATTTGAAAAATTAGTCTGAATTTATTAACTATAAAATCTGACAGGAGATTTTCCAAAGGAATATACTTTGTTCATAAGTTTATGTGCTAAAGATAAATGTTATCAGTGAATATACTGAAGATTTTTGACAGATATTAAGATGAATCACTTTTCATTACTATGTAGCTTATTTTAAATTAGGTATGTTAACCTAATTCGTTTATTATCCTTTTTTTTAAAAAAAGCGCATCGCAACAAGTTAAGATATTCGTTACCAAAAACTGAATTGAGTGATTCAGAGATTAATATTATTGACTTTAGAGTGTAATATTACTTAGTTTAATTGTAAAACATACTGTTTTTAAACATACTGAATATCCTTATGTTAATGATTTTATCTAGCTTTTCAAAACTTCCAGCCTCTTCCAGGGAAGTCCTACTCACTGCCTTCTCGTGGCATTACTGTTGTTTACGAAATTGAGAGGACGAAAAGTGAATGTTCGGTGCCTTAACCGGGTTGGCGGACACGAAGAGTCCACCTAGGGGAGTTGGAAAACCCTGATTACAAACCAATGGTGCACATGGGCTCCAGCATCCTGAAGGAACAAATGAATTATGAACCAATTATTGGTCACTGGCTATCATAAGACTACATCTCTTACGTTGCTCCACTGCCTTGTGGATCAGACCTTCAGGTCGGAGGTTCGGGGTGTGGCCCCTAAGAAAACCACTTCCTTCGGTCTGAACACCCGAGCAGTATCACAGCCCTCACACATATCAAGTGAGATCTGTGTGGCGCATATGTATTCGGTGTCCCCTTGTACCAATACCTATGTGTTCAAATAAATAAATAAATAAAAATGGGTTGGTGCCTGACAAAATCTCCTCGCGGGTTCAGAAGGGTCATTTGGGTCATAATCTGATTCCACTTGAAGTAGATGTTCCTTTTATATGTTTTCTTCAATGAGTTACTGTCTTACTCTCTGTATGATTAACTCAGCTTCCACGGCTACACAGCAGAACTCCGATTATGATTTAATTAATTATCGCTATAAGGTTATGGAAATCATTCATTGTTATTGCAATCACGAATCGATCCAAGTTAGACGGCCATTGGAAACCTGCAAACATTGGACAGGCATTTCGTTCTTGCATGAGACTTCTCGGCATTGCCCATCTACAACTCCTTGCCGAGTATCAAACACAGGACCCTTGGTCTCGAAGGAAACACCTAACCTCTTGACGACCGAGTTCGCATCCGATGACGTAGAAGTCTAATTTCAGTCAATCCGCGATGTTGCGTAACCATCTTCCATTGTTTTCGGTGGGTGATTTTCTCGCACATGACAGGGTAGAATGTCAATGGTCACGGCTTCTCACTAGAACTCGGAAAATTTCCTCTCGAAACAATTCACTAGTGAGGATCAAGAAGGTACTCATCGAAAACACTAGAAGATTTGCACTCAGTATCGCTAAATGGTCCCATGCTAGAACTGAGCAACTGTTCAATGTTTCCAACTTCTTAACAGTTGTTTGACTGAAATCAGTTCGTGTTCCGAATAACACGTTTATATGTGTATTAGGGTTAACAGCACTTCCTGGTGGGTCAAACTGAAGCAGTTGTAATGCTATTCGAGACTCCAATTCAATGATTGAAATTCAAATGTGTTAACCATAAGGTCATTGTAGATTTACATATTCTTTTACGTAGTTAACCGATGAAAATAGTATTTATAATAATTCGGAGATTCAGAAAATTGTCATAAAATACTCTGTATTTAATTTTAGTTCCATCTCTTCAATCCGCTGGTATTATCTTACAAATATTTCCATTACACGAACCAAGTGAATTAAATAAGTTAACTAGTATTTGGATTCGTCGTTGGGTTGTCCTACAACCATTAGATGAAATTAAAGAATATTTTGGTACAAAAGTTGCATTCTATTTTGCATGGCTTGGCCATTATACATATTCATTAATATTTCCATCAGTTGTTGGACTTGCTGTTTGGTTATTTGTTAATCCTAACGTAAGTTTTTATTATTATTGATTTTTGGTATTATGTATTTCGTATTGATATTTAATAGTATTGACAAGTTGATCCTCCATTTAAAACGCTCTAGTGTAATTTGATTTTCATTGATTAAATGGCAAGATTAATTTAATAGGATAAGTCCTACAATTTCCAAGGTTAGTTTTTGAATGAATGGTAGTTACATGTTCCTTAACTTATTTTCTTCTGTTGTGACTTTAAGCCAATTTAAATACGATTCATTCACTCTTGTACTATGCTAAACCAATGACGTTCGACCAGTATGAGCAGCCTAACGTCCTTATTGGTTCTTTGTTCACCTAGCCCGTCCAGTTGAGTCCAGAACACCAGTAACATGTCCCACTATGCGAATCATTTATTTCAAACATACATGGTTTATATACCAACCAAACGGACCTTATCATACCATAAAATAGGAAATAACATTTACACAAGATCAAACCAAAAAGTGGCTGTGAACGTGGGAGACGGTAGTTAATAAACTGAACATAATTTAGGAACAGTAAATCGTATAATAATAATCTACAGGTCAAAACGAAGCTTATAATAAGGGAAATATAGATATACATAATCTAATTACTGAACAGTTATACAATAGGAATATATATATATATATATATATATATATATATATATATATATATATAATACTAGTCCATTAATAGGTCTGGGGAATTACCCGTAGTTTAATTTTCACTAGGATATAACAAGAGTTCTATGAATTAGTGAAATAAACGTGTTTGATGTTGTTATATTAACTTGATGTATAGAAAGCTTCATTTTATCGACTGCTCACAATTTGTTAGAAATTTGGATAGGACTTCTTTATTGATGAAACATTTTTTTGTAGACCAGCTGTTTTCTGTTAAAATATTCTGTGTACAGAGATTTTCTTTGTATCATTTTTCGTAAAGATAGATGAACTGCTACTCGCTTACATAGTTAAATGTTATGTAATGTACTTCAATATTTGGTCCTATCAACACGTCTTCTATATGTGGTACGCATCATGTGTATCATAAATAAGTAATTATTGGTATTGTTATTACTGCTTTAAGATTCTAAATGATATCTTTTAACAAATCTATTGGTTTTAGAAAACAATTCAAAGATGTTTTTCACCATACATAGGGATATCGAATAAAGAACCACTAAGAAACCATTAAATTGTAGTTCACAACTCAATAATGCGACCGTGTAATTCTGGTCTGTTTAATCAAATGGCCGAATGAGACCATATTAACTATTAGGTACTAAGCTTTTATTGTTTTTGCCAGGAGATCTGAAGGTTCTCAGTTCCATATTGTGGTTGACTGTAAAATTAGATTGTTAGGGTGTTTGAGACTAGGATCAGACAACTATTTATCTCTACGATGTACTTTTAAAACTTTTCTTTAACCGAAGCGTCAGTTCATAGTAAGCATTGGTTTCGATTTTCACATAATTTTCACAAAGCCACCTAGTAAGAAAAAGAACCGTTAATCTATTTGATCTCAAGTTTCTTTTTGACAGAATATAATTCTCCTTTTTTCTCTCTTACACACCTAATTTTTAATTTAAATACAGAAAAATTCTTCATTTTATTATTTATTAATGGCTATTATCAATTTAATATGGACATCATTATATCTGGAACATTGGAAAAGGACTAGTTCATTTTTAGCTTATCGCTGGGGTTCATGGGATACACCAATTTCATTATTAGAAGAGCCTAGACCATTATTTAAAGTAAGAATTTCTTTCTATTATATATATAATAAGAATTATTGTACATTGTTATTTACTACTTTTGTTGTCACTTACTGCTGACGTTTTGATTACTGTTATTATTATTAGTAGTATTAGTACTAGAATCAGTATTATCATTTTCGTTTTATCCTCTATTATATTATTAACGTCCATTTATCCAAACTATAAAATCCTATAGAATAATTGGATTGTGACTAACAGTTGAATTGAAGATCTACGTTTCGTTCTATTTAAGACTCATGAGCTGGATTTAAATGAATTTCAGTGTTACTGTTTACATTACATCTGAAGCCCAGTATCTTTCGTTTTAAATCTCAATGGATTTTCCAATAAAGTAATTCGCATAAATCAAATGCATACAACTCAATGGCTTTATTGTACCCCTAGAAAATATAATTTCAAATTATATTTTACAAAGAGTTTTTAGCATCTTATCGTTAATAACATCTTCGATGAAATACCTATTTCTAGTTATCAAACATATTCAAACTAGGTGTTTGACGTGAATTTTCAAAGAAATTAATTAATTATAGACTATTTGTAGATATACCCCACTTTGCACACACGTGATATGCAACCATTGATGACATGGACTCGGTGCGCCTCTGCTTAACGAACAGAACCAGGTCAATCATTCTTTGTTTTTTTACCTTCATTTTCACTTTTGATTATTCATTAATTATCTTATGATTCATACTGTTTGTTAATCATTAATAAAAAAGTTTCTTTTCGGCTAGATCATTTATTAAAGCTGTACAAGGGTATTCATAGTTATTTTACACATAGTAGTAAATTCTTGAGTCATTGATCAAGATACTGAAAGTTACACAAAAACCTCAAGTGTTGAATAAAGGTACTTAGTAGAATGGAATTAACACATAGAAGTGAGGTTTGAAAGATAATTGTCTACTTGATGAATACAATGAAGATGGTTGAGAGAACGAACACATGCCAAAAAAGCTTACAAAGTAAGATATTAAGGCCACGATAAAATAAGTGACTGCAAAATGGTACGTCTAAAAACAGAGAGACCAAAACACGAATTATTAAAGCCTTATCTATTCGGAAATTCCTTATTCACCTTCTCTTAAAACTAGTTTGTCTGGCCGCTTAAAAATGACAGTTTTGATTTTCTTAAAAATATTCACTGACCAATAGTTTTATCTTTTGTTAATTTCTCGTTTGAAATTTCAAGGTCTTTGTAGTGGATTATCTTCGATACAGTTTTTAAGCCTCTGTATAACACTCGTCCTCATAACCGTTAACAGATAACTCTGAGAAGTTTATAGATTTCAGAAGGTAATATGCAGTATTGGCTACAGTTTATCATTGTGCGGAGTGGATCACTAAGCCACAAGAACAAAGCGAATTTGAGAAGAAATATGAATGCAAGCGAGCGAACTAGGTGTCAAATGAACTAAGATTTAAGCACATATATATAGGAAGGCGGATGAGCCATTCAGCGATTTAAGTAAGAAATATTTAAGCTAGTAAGAGGGATAGTTGTGTATATTGTGTCACTTGATCTAGGATACCTGTTCATATAGATATAATGATAATAATAATACAAGATATAAACAAATTGTTACTGCTTAAATGACACAGTCTTTTGAATAAGTTCATTGGAAGGTAGCTGAATATTGATCACAGTGACGTACAGTCATCCATAGCTTATTTTTCTCAAGTTAAAAAATTACTTAACTCTTTTATTCCTTGATTAAATCCATTTTTTATTCGAACTATATTCCCTACGTTTCTACATAAAAGCATTATCATGTTATTGATAAGCAGGACTACATTATGACCTGTTTTTGTTGACTTACGTACACCGTGAGTAAATGTCTCGATGTAATTTTTCCGCTACAAGTTTTAGCTCATTAATATATCCATCCAGCTGATGAGTTCAAAATAAGACGAAACACATATCCTGAAAAGTGTTAGTTATAATCCAAACACACTGTTTTCTATAATCCACTCTTTTCCATAATCACAGACATCTTTATTATATATCATGTTAATTTTATCTCTCTGTACTGATGTGAAGTATGAGTAGTTGAGCCTGATGCACGTTTATGAAAGCTGTTTTGGCAGACTTAAATAAACTGTGTAACGTTTTGCTCTGTCTTCTTAATGAATATAAGAATGCTTACGTGATTACTGGCACAAAGCAACACTGAAAAGAAGTACGGTTTAACCCAAGAAACGTGGGAAATTCACTGAATATTTAAGATATTGCTCCAAATTTCTAGATATCATATCTGCGCCATTTGAATAGCCTACATAGATATCCTACTTGAGATATTCAATTCCTTTATTATATAATCTATATGTATATATAATGAAATTGTAATCTTGTATTTCAATACTTTAAAATGTTCATTTATATGTTCCTATTGTTTGCTTTTTTTAATTAGGGTAAATTATCTTTATGCCCAATTACCGGGAGACCTATACGTACTTATTCAAAATGGAAACGTTTATTAATTTTATGCTTTATTACTACACCTATTGTTCTACTTTCATTAATTATTGTTATTTATATCACATTAATGTATGTTCGATTACAAGATAAAATGAATATTTATGCTGATAATAATACATCTGTTATACCAAATTTTATATTGGTGACTTTACCAAAGGTAGGTTATTTAATTATTTGTTTATTATATAGAATTTATTTATATGAAATTAAGTACCATATAAATAAATGATCTTTTTGACAGTTGATAAAATGAGTACTGAATTTCTGTTTCATTAGGATACTGTCAGGTCTACTAGTTAAAGAATACTGAATGGAATAAAAAAATGTGTATCTATTATGTACTGTAATACATAGTTGAGATTGATAAGGCTTTAAAATCCCGACCGAAGCTGCTACCTTGACGCGGTGGTCGGGCTTGCCTATTGTGATGACCCAACCGAGCTATATTGGCTGGAACATATGTTCCTGTAGGTTCTACTATGCCAGGCAGGTCGATTGGAGAACGGTAAGACTAAAAGCAGCAACTCAAGGTCTGAGGGCGAAGTCGTACTGCTGACTGTAGAGAGGTGTGACAGCAGTAAGGTGTTTCCCTCGGACAACCAGCATCTGCAGCGATGCTGCCTTCTCACAAGGAAGGAAAGGGTTAGAAAAGGTCGACCCTAAAAATGTCACACCTCACCTTACCTCACGGATTTCTGTCTCCGGCGGTAAGGCCCTTTGAAGAACGGAGCTAACACATTAAAAACCTTCCACGAAAAGGCCGTGCGCGACCGGCCTCAAGCAGTTGTCCCTTGGGTTCTGCCGTCACGCTTCCAGGTCTTTAAGACCAACACTAACCCAACTTCCTTTCCAGGTTCCTCAAGAAATACCCTCCCACGGTGTGGGCAGCCGGGAAGTGATATCAGCCCTCATACCCGTAACAGCACAAGAGACCAAGTTGGTCACATTCAAATCCTTCCTACACCTTCTAATACCTCTTATCTCCAAGACACACTTCTTACGTCCCTTTATCACCTCGCACCGCTAGGGCAAACGATTCGAGTACGTGGAACGCCATTCCTGGTCTCCTGAAACCACGCTCTAAACTACACGTAGGAGCTTTTAACGTCCGAACACTGTGCCAAATTGGACAACAAGCTTCCTTAGCTAAAACTTTAGAATCTCGCGCCATCGATGTGTGCTGCGTCTCCGAAACCCGCATACAGGATCCGAGTAGTGTCATTCATTTGACATCACCATGTCAAAACAAAGGACCAACTCGATTCACACTTCGTGTATCTGGAAGCCCAGATGCTGCTTCTCGTGGACTCGCCGGCGTAGGTATAGCATTGAGTCCTAGGGCAGAACTAGCGTCGTGGCTCAAAGAACAGATAATGGCGACCATCTGTTGCAGCTATGTTCAGATAACCGCCTCTTTCTTGCAAATACTAACTTTAAGCATAAGCAAAAACATCTTTTAACATGGCGACCCCCTGATTCGTCCCAATGTTGGACGCAAATAGATCACATCGCTATCAGCCACCGATGGAGGGGCTCGATTTTTTCAAAAATGTTAACTCATAGGTACTTGACTTTAAACCTCTGATTGATTAGCTACATTCCTCTGTTATATATATTATCAATCTCGTTAAGCTAATGGATATTTTTACATACAATATAAAAGGCATCGTACTAAAGGATTTTGTAGTTCATGTTTTTTCTTTGTGCTGGTTCATTCTAAATTTTATTTGGATGTTTGTTTTTATAATCTAATTTAAAATCACGTCAATGGATACTTCATTCACATTTGTATTATTTAGATTATCCTGGCTGTATCAATATCAATAATGGATTTTAGTTATAAAAAAATAGCTGTTTGGCTTACAGATTTTGAAAACCATCGTTTAGAAGATGACTACAATAATCATTATGTAGTCAAGTTGATTTTGGTAAGTGTAATTTTTTTGTGAAGAATAAATAGTAACTCATTAACTAAGTATATTTTTATTTACTGGACTTTAACCAACACGCTCTACGTGAAGATTAGTGATATTCTGTTAATTCATTAAAAATTGGTGGACCGTTACATGAGCGTACAATCCTGTCTTAGTTTACTGATTAAGGGAACTGAAACATCTGCATGTTATATTTGTGTCTTTTCCATTTAATTTTATATTGTTTTATTTACTGTCATCGGTTTAAGAATTCATTCACTGAATTATCTTGTTTATAAACGGAAATTACATTCTATGACTTCGATTCATTACATAGCTGAATACACATATTATTTCACATAATACAACTTTACTGTTTCTGAAAATGAAGTTATCTCGTAGTGAAATTTCTTCCGTAAATTATTTTATCATAATACCACGTACATCGCTTATTACTTACTTATTATTACTTACGCCTGTTACTCCTCGTTAAGGAGCATAGGCCGCTCACCGGCATTCTCCATCCAACCCTGTCCTGGGCAATCCCTTCCGGCTCTTTCCAGTTCCTATTCGTCCTTTTCATATCTGCTTCTATTTCTCGACGTAATGTGTTCTTTGGCCTTCCTCTTTTCCACTTCCCTTCAGGATTCCAAATAAGAACTTGCCTCGTGATGCAGTTTGATGATTTGCGTAATGTATGTCCTATCCATTTCCATCCTAATTTCCTCTTCAGCTGGAAGCTGGTTTGTTCTCTCCCACAAAAGGCTGTTGCTGATGGTATCCGGCCAATGGATGTTGAGTATCTTGCGTAGACAGCTTTTTATAAATACTTGCACCTTTTTGATGATGGTTGTAGTAGTTTTCCAAGTTTCAGCTCCGTACAGTAGGACTGACTGTCTTGCTGTTCGTATTGAAGATTCTCACTTTGATATTGGTTGAAAGTTGTTTTGAGTTCCACTTGTACATCGCTTATGAAGTTAGATAATTCGGATGTTTCTAAAATGAGTTAAAATGAGGAATTATTGCTTAGATGTAAATATTTTTTTCATAATAATAATAGTCTAACTTGTCGTTTCACCTAGAAAACCAAATTATGTACTTTCACACATTCACACTACGAAATACTAGTTAATTTTACAGAATATAAAAATACACTTGGAATTACAGTTGGTAATTAAATTTTTAATCTTAATTTAAATATTAGTGCTCAATGAAATAAGCAGTCACTTAATGTAAATCCCATAATGAATTCATGTTTTAGAACAATGTTATATAAGTATGATCAATTCTTTCTTCATCTATGTGATATTTGATTTTTTTTAACAACTAAATTTGTGCTAATGAATAAACTGAAATCTTTTGTACAAGAGTTCAATTGACCACTGTTTGATATTTCAGGGAGGAGAGTATTGTTATTGATACATTGAGCTAATCAGCAATCGTCAAAATGATAAATGCACGTAATTGGTCAAGGAGGGGATTTTTTTATGCGAGAGATGAGATGTAAACAGCTAAGATATAATATAAATGAGTACATCTACACATGAACCGGTTTAACCCAAATAAACTTCTTTCCTCACCCGAGCTTATGTATAGGAAGAGTGCGTATCAGTATCACTTTTCAGACATTACATGTCGTAACAGTTACTTGTAATTCATTTTGGTTTATTAGTTGTCAACTTATTGTATCAGTATTCCTGTAAGTATCATAAATTCATTGATTAACCCGAGTCCATAATCTTTGGATTTACAAATGATAATAATTTTATCCTATATGATACTGAATTATAATATACACCTGTGAATTAACAAATAATAACTGTTGCTTAGTGGTATTGTTCTCGTGTTTACATATTTTTTGGCAATATTAATCGATACGAAGATATAATTGGACAATCAACTTGATGATCGATAGATATTGCGATAAATAAACTTGTTTGGCTAAAAAGGGATATGGTTATGTCATGGAAACAATTACTCTGTGATTTAATTAAGAAACACTGTGACCATCAGTTTTCACTGTAAAATATCTCCCACTATTTACAGTTATCCTTACTGTATGTGTGTATAAATTTTCAATTTTAACTATATAATCTTCACCATTTATAAATTCTTTTCTTAAGGTGTTTTCTTTATTGAAAATGATAATATTTCAAGTTTTAAGAAGTTATGATTCTTAACTGTCCAGAACGTATTATTATACACTAAAAAAATGTCTTGATCCTTTATCGGTAGACCATGTTTGTAAATAAAAAGACTGAGGTCTTTCTCTATCTTCTCGTTAAGTTTGGGATTAGTGTAATCAATTTTATTCTGTTTTTTCTCGACTTATTTTTTACTGTTCTGTTAAGTTATGGTTTGCTTACTATACAGAGTATTGTCTGTAAGTTTTCTAAGGGAAATAAACTCAAAGTGTTATCTTACCTAGTCAAAAATGTCAGTTCTATCATAATTGAATAGTTTGTTTACTATTTCTAGGGCTATCATTTATTTTGAAGTTTTCTTATGTTGAATTAGTAAATAATGTACTTAGCCTTCAATTTGTGGGGTGCGGATTCAACCTCTGATCTGCTTACTTAGATTTAGGACACCAAGTAGTGTAATAAGCCATCGCATAAACAGTATTATTCGGATCCGAGTACAACAATATGTTCGTAGTATTTGAATTATATCCTCATATTGGTCTATTCATTCATTTATAGATTAATTTTCGATTGGTTACATATCATGTTGCTGCTGAATTCACATGGATTCCTGTTCCACTAGAACAGGGGTATTTATACTTTACACACCTTATATTGGTTACTTTAAATATTGAGCACTGGTTTACCATCCAATAGACATTTGTCATAACCACTCTATAACTTGGTTATATTCAATAAAATATGTAGAATCTAAAACCTTTGAAAATAACGAACGTTAGCGAATAGTTCATACTAACTTTTTCAGGTGTGTGTGTATGAGGGAGCAAGAGAGTTGAATACGTCGTTATTTTCTTTTTACGAGCAACATTACCATTCTCATTGTATTCTTGCGCAAACAATCCAATACTCAAATAATTTTTTGCACTTTTTCCTTTTTTCTCTCCTTTTCCCATAATAGCTTCAATTTGTGAATTCATTTTATTCCCTATTCTACACAGCATTTTATCTGAAAGATTTGGAATTATTAAGAAAGGTAACATTTGATTTAAAGTTATTCCTCGTATTTATAATATCAATTTTTAAATTAATAACAGTTTAATAAAAATCTTGGTATATCATTGAAAACAGTGATTTACGTAATGAACCTGGATCAAGTAAATGATCATTGAGGAACCCTTCAATAGTGTATCTTCAACGACCTTAGATAGGACCATCTGTAGTGCCTTTATTTAGACTAATCAGACAGAATTCTGTGTCAAAAGCATTTTCAATTTTAGTCAGTGCACGATTTGATATCATCTTTGGGGTCAGCTTTTCACCCCCAACTTTATCAACACTGATCACAGCTTCTCATTACAAACGAATGCAATTATTGTTACTAACCGAGAGATTTGTATGGTTATCCAGGTTGAACGTTAAAATGTACTATATTATATCAAAAAAAATTTGGATGAAACGGCCGTCTAGTGCTTCCAGATTTTCAATGGTGGTCTAACATCAATTGGTTCATGATCTCGATCAAAAACTTAATGATCTCCACAACCCCATACTGAATATTATTATTACTGAATCCACAATAAATCTAAATGAATCCAATCAAAATGCACTATCTAGTCTCTGATATATTTTGTAGATAATTAATCTGTCTAACTAATACTTTAATTTCAAATAACGTTCAATGTTATTACGTAGCGAAGTATCCAATCAACATTTAATTACATACGAAAATTCTCTCAAAAATAATCAAATCAATAAAATCACCCTCCATTTCTCACAGCATAATTTATATTATTATTGTCGTTTTTATGTTTCAACACAATGTAGTTAGGTATCGTATTCGTGATGTGTAAATCATGTGTAACATTTTTGTAGAGTGTAAAGTAAAGTAAAGTCTGTTATCACAAAAATGACTGTATTTTGAATTGAATCGACGCAACCAGAGAAATCAATAGTATATATTATTTGTATCAAGGCTAGGAATAGTACCGGATTGATAAAACTGAAATAGACAGATCTAGGTCGAAGTCCTTATTTTATTGATTAACAAAGAAATACTGAGATTGGGATACTAGATAAAGACTAAAAGTTGGTTGATGAACTAAGTTATCTTCATTGACTGTGGTGATTTTCATGTGTATTTTGTATGCCAGTTACCGCCCCCTTTGAATAATGGCGTTGATCAACATGGAAATCGACTGAAAGAAAAGTGCTGCCGGCCAAACCAAGAAATATCATCAGTTCATAAAGTCATTTACTATTAAACTACCTGTTTGAAGTCTGTGCGTTTATCACATCTAATGGTTGGAGACATTGGGCGATAAGTAATCGTTTAATCGACTCTTGTTTTCTTTGTTTATGTACTTGCTAGTTTATTTAGAATTCTCATTGATTGTCGGCGTATGATCATTTTATACTTATTTACGTAATTATATTTCGTTCTGTAATGAAACAACTTACTTTTTAGAGAAACAATGAAAATGTCAACCACAATTTTCTGTCTGTTCGTAACAATATTCATTGCATTAAAGGGCATTATAGTTCAGTTACCTCCTTTATTAATTACAAGCTTATATGGTCGTTTTGTAACCCGCTTAAATCATTTTCGCTGTGTGGGAAATTCTCACTGAGCTATTCTGGCCATGATTGACCTGTAGAACTGAGTATTTGTAACTGATTGATCATTTTGTAGTGATCAATGTCATTTTTTGTAGTCCATTAATACTGACCGAACTCTGTCGATCAAGCTGCAACGTATTTCAACATCTTCTGCACTACTTTAAGATGTTAGGTGGTCGCAATCTTACAATTAGCATCATTTCCACCAAGACCATACGTACACTTTGCTGACGAGTGCCAAATAGAAAGAAACATAGATCTAGGGTATTCTGATGACAATTTTCAACTACCACACACCTCAACATAGTATACTCAAGGTTGAGTTCATTAGGAAAGCGACCACATATCAACTTGATCCATAAAATTCGATCAATGCAAAAGAACTAGGCAAATATGAAATTAATGACTACTCAATGATCAATCAATTATGAAAATATAGTTCAACTAGTTCACCCATTACTTAAAACTTTACTTACTCGCATCTTCGAATTCACACGTTTTATAGTGATAGTAGTTATTAAAAAAAATCACGTCACCTTTCAATCTACAATCTAATCGTTTACAGTAGAATACTGTGTAGTAAACAGAACACGGGTGGGGACAATCGAATGTATTTAACACAAAATTACAGGACTTGTTAATAAAATCTAACATTCATAAAGTAAATGCTTAATTTACAAAATGTCCATCAATTTTCTCAAAATGACTCAAACTTCATTGTTCTTGCATTTTCATACAAATCGCATTTTCTTTCCATTCTTTACTTTTCGATCCTCTTATCTCTCTGCTGCCAGAACTTCTGTTCACGACTAAAATCATATACTACTTATGTCAATATAAGTAGCACACACCACAACTGTAATCAATAGGATCACAATATGTCTAGGATAAAGTTTATTTACAAGATCATACTTTATCATAAAAATTAAGTGCATCGGTCCAAGTTGCCATACCTCATTAGCACAACAAAATGAACACCGAATTCACAGAAGTAGTTAATTCAATGGCGGTAATAAATAAAAGAAAGATTGCATATAAGGATATAGTACAGGAAGAAAAAATTAGTTGGTAGAAAGAAAGATATGAAGCGATTTTAATCTCATAATTTAAGATAGGTTTTGTGGATATTATAGTAATTTCAGTAGTTGAGGTCATGAGTCAGTTGAAGCTAGACCACCATGGAAAACCCCCAAATGCCCTGGTATGGCCAAGAGTGGGTTGGGCCTGCCCACCCTCTCGAAACGCTCTCACACGGACACGCGTATACAGCCTCTGCCAGGGGAGTCCTACTCACTGCATTCTCGTGGCTGGGATGTTGTTTACGAAATTGAGAGGACGAAAAGAGAATGTCCGGCGCTTTAACCGGATCCCAAACCAATGATGCACATGGGCTCCAGTATCCTGCGGGAACAAATGGCGTATGAACCAATTGTTGGTCACCGGCTACCATGGGACTGCATCTCCTCACGATGATCCACTGCCTTGTGGATCAGACCTTCAGGTCGAAGGCTCGAGGTGTGACCCCCTAAGAAAACCACTTGCTTCAGTCTGGGCACCCGAGCAGTATCACAGCCCACACACACAAATATGGTGTAGTGCATATATACTTGGCGCCCTCTTGTACCAGTATTTATGTGTTCAAATAAAAATAATAAATAAATAACATAATTTAAGAGAAGACAGAGAGTGTATACACCTACTCCATTTTAATCGATTCTGAGCCATGTCTTCAACCAGCGTCTTCAACCATTGGTTACGATAGTCTATATGGTCATTTACATGAGTTACATGAATAGAGAATTTAGGCATTAAAACATGATATTTCAATAAACCATAGAATATATTTAAAAGCTTTTTAGTAATTTCCAGAAAAACGCTTATGGTATCTTAAACAAATGAATACTTTACGACAATATTCGCATTTACTTCATTTAACACTTAAAATAATAACATACTTGTGTGGACATACTACCATATCATCTGATTTAATATATAGAAGAAGAAAAATATTATTCTATTTTTGTTTATTTTAAAAGATAAATATTTGTATCTTGTTTTCCCTTTTTAAATTGTACTTTATGCCATGTATTTAATAATGACTTGTTATGTATATTTGTGTGCTTCTTCAATGGATTCACAACTAGAATCTCTTCCTATATATATATATATATATATATATATATATATATATATATATATATATATATATATATATATATATATATATATATATATATATATATATATATATATACCTAATTTATTTTTGTTATAATTATTCTCCTCTTTCTTGCATTTTTCTTCCGAATATATCCAGCAACTTGTAACATTACTACTTACTCGGCAAATAATTGATTCAATCAGAGAAATTTTTTTACCACTTGGTCACTCACGTTTACGACAAGTATGGTTATCATTAAAATATGAACAGAGATGCTTAGCTGAACGTAATAAGTTAAAATCTGAAGATAATAATGGTTCATTAGCAACATTCAACCCTTCATCATCATCATCGTTATCATTAGCACAACCCAGTAAAACAGATTCAGATGTTGATAAATGTTCAATATTGCCTGAAAATAAAAGTCAATATGTTGATAATAACATAACCAGGATAGATGTTGATGTGAATTCAGAAATCCTTATCCATCAACGAATCCAAAAAGTCACTGAAAAAAATAAGTTAAACAATAATTCAAAATCTTTCGGTAAGATTGTCATGTTTTATTCTATATACTAGTAAATTTCTAAACGTGTTATTTTAAATCGTAAATTAGTGTATTTTTATGATATTCTTTGTCAAATGTGAAAGGCTGAATACCAAGTTGAAGTTTAATACAAAACTTATAATCTGCTCTATGCATTCTAAGACATCAAGACGAAGTACTGGTTATATTCAGAAGCCTTACAACTTGAAAACCATTGACAAATTTTGGTTTCGATTAGGCTTCAACAAGTACAAAGTGTTATATAAAGATTACCGACACTTTGTTGCTACAGCTACAAATTTAATCAGAATAGTAAAGTGATCTTTAACTGTGCCGTTTCTTGATAAGGAACTCACTGAATGCAGAACATAGATCTGAAATATTATATGTAAAAATAGTCAAATTCCTACCCTGAAGAAGTTTACACAAACTTGCTGAGCGAAACATTTGAATTATTTCAATTTCAATTCCTGAAGTTATCTCAAACAAATATTTTCGTATATTGCATCTTCTATATTCTCAGCACCCAATTTCTGTTAAATTGTTCCTTCAAATATTGACAAACATTCATGTAAAATATTTTGGAAATGTAAACTAGCTTATCGGAAAAAAGAATCAGTCAACAGTTGAGCTGAACAGTTTAAAAGAAGCAACATAACCAGAACTCCTCACACCCATTTTTTTATGGATCAGATCATTATACTATGTTACGACCTACAAGATAAATCTATTATGAATTGTATAAATCTTCAGTATTAATGTCAAACCGACATGTATTATTACAAGATGAAAGGAAACTATAAGGAAATAACTTGTAAAAGTAATGATAATATATATAACATATTCAGTATTATCTATTTATGTATCTTCTAAACATTGTTTATTTAACTTTCAATGTGTAGATAATTCAGAAGAAACACGAATAACACCCGCTGAGAGAGAAGCTACATTGTTACGTGTAAGTAATGAATATTAATTTTAAACAATTAACACTTTTACCTATCAATTCATAATCAATGTTTGGATTTTGACAGAGTGATTGTTGTTTGTCAGTACTCTGTAACTGTTATATATAGAAAGTTGTTCTTGATATACCGCGTATGACGTGAGCACTAGAATACCAGAACCCTTCCAAGTCGCAATGAGAAGACAGGAGACTAATAAAAGGAATATTATTCCCAGATAGTGTCAATTATAGTACAAAATTGTCAGGTATTTATAGTTTTTAGTAAGAACGAAATCATCATCACAGTCCACCAATCCGCATACAGGAGGTTATTAGCATTATCCAATCGGGAAGCTACATGTAGGAATTCTAGAATATTCTCCCAAAAGGTGATTAGATGGAATAAATTCAGCCCCTTCTGAGCCTCCTACAGCTTCCTCGAGTTCACCCGTGATCCGTCGTCACAGTAACATAGACCAAAATCTTAGAAATATATCTCAGTATATATGAGTATATATATTTAGCTATCTTGGAGTTATTTTTCTAAAATGCAACTTATACCACTCGGTTATTTTCTAATTCAAATAATATCCAGTAAATTATGGGACTGAAATAGACCATATCGATCTATACAACAACTAAATTCCATCAGTGAATTTATTCTCCGGTCACAATCAGTTGTTGTATTAGGCATAGTGAGATCTGAAACTCCGACTTATTAATTAACAGTTTAACGCTTAGAGCATCAAATTACAAGCTGAACACTATTGCATATAGTTGTATGTTGGTTCAAAGGTTTGTTATATAATTTTGTTTTAAACGATATACTTGTGGTGCGTGCTACTTATATTGATATAAGTAGTATGTGACGCGAGTTAAAAGCGTAATATCTGGCAGCAGAATATGGGAGAAGATCAAGAAAGGAAGAGCGACAACACAATGCAATTTGTAAGAAAGAGGGCATGAACAGTGAAATGTGAGACAATGGATTGATGTTTGCAACAGGAACAGTCCGGTTTGATTTGACGGATTAATATTTTGCAAATTAACGATTTACTATATGGTTTTTCTATTTTACCGAGTAACTCTGTAATTGTGTGCTAAATATATTCGGTTGTCCTCACCTGTGTTCTGTTCACTACATACTATCCATATTTTCTAATTAATTACATATTGATCATTTAATGTAATTGAATAAGTATTATGAATAATTTTTTCCCGAAATTTATCAATACAAACTTATAAACGTTTTATTTTAGAATTTGGTAATGAATATAAAACTGATAGATTTCGAGTGATGGACTAATCTTTTAGCCACTTGATTCAAAATCACTAGGTGACATTTTTATAACTCGACTGTTTTAACTTGTGAACCTATGTTCCCTGTTTATTGTCAAACGCAACGATACCGCCAATCAGAGAACAGCGGATTATCGATCGAACCAATGACGCATAAAACACATACGAGCAGCCTATAGTCCTGATTGGTCTCGCTTCCTGTCTAGCCCAGCCAGCTAAGCCCAGAACACTAATCTCAGCCTCTGCAATATGAATCATTTGTTTCCAAACATACGGGGTTTATGTACCAATCAAACAGACCACAACGTACCATAATATATGAAACAACTTGTACAATATTTGGCGAAAAGTGGCTGTGAATGAGGGAGATAGTAATTAATAGACAGGCCATAACTTAAGAATGGTAAATCGTATAGTAATAGTCTATGGGTCAAATTAAAGCTTAGAATAAGAGCGACCTGAATATGAACAGTTTAGTTACATAACAATTATACGATAAAAATATACTCATAGTATTGGTCCATAAATAGATCCCAGAAGTTACCATTCATTATTCTTATCGGGATATGACATCGACTCCATCAATATTGTTTTAAGGTTTTAGAAAGTATAACTAACTCTTAAATACACAAAACATACGACTCAAAATTGAAAATGGGATCCCACACTTGACTAATGAATTCAATCATCTTTACTATTTACATTTACCGGTAAAATTTAATTAATATCATTCTAAATGTCCGATTTTTTTATATGACACTACTGAAAATCTCATATATTTCTAAGAGTCCTTCAAGTTTTCTTTCCTCTCTGTTGATTTCTTTCAATTTACACATAGTATGAAGATCCAACCGATGATTTCTTAGAAATGTTTATTCAATTCGGTTATGTAAGTATGTTTACTGGCATATTTCCATTAGCCGGTTTATTGGCTTTTATGAATAATGTAATTGAAATACGAGGTGATGCATATAAATTATCAACTAGTTATCAACGTCCATTTGGTCAATTTGCAAATAGTATTGGTATTTGGCAAGTAAGTATTGTTCGTTTTTTTCGTAGTATCGTATTCATTTTACTAAGATTTAATACAATTTAGAGATTTAGTAGTTAATATCTGTCTATCCTATATTCGTTGGTTAATGTATTTTATCTTATCAATTTCAAACACCTTACCATCTCATAATATTTATTGTAATTATATTCTTAATCAACTAATTTATATATCGTATATCACTTATTTGTCAGTAAGATATTTACGGAATTCAGTAGTAGATTATGATATTTATTATCATCTCAAGATCACTTCTATGGTCTTACACTTCACTTTCACTGTCATCTATCGAATAACTCACCAATCAGTCAGTTGTAGAACCCGGTACATATATACATCCATCCAAATTGCCAAGTGGATACTTTTAACAGGATAGTATATATTTGAAGGTCTCTTATCATTAACATCATAAAACCCAAAATGGTTAATCATCCTTTTTATCATTATCGTATTTATCTTTCTATTTTGATTCAACATCTCTATTCTCTGTTCATTTATATCCTTCTTCTGGTTCCCATTATTAGAATTCATATTATAGGTTTCCTCTATCTAGGCAATTAAGAAATTTTGTTATTGGAATGTGAATTGTGTAGAACTATGGCTTAGTGGGTAAATCGCTTAACTATCAACCACAAGGTTTTAGGTTGAAACCACGATCCACCTACTTTGGTTGAGGAAGCCACTAGCTATCATATTCAACATTATGTAGTTCGAAATCGAGTAATATCAACCTGTACACATAATGAATAAATTACGTTTATCATTCATAATCATTACTATACATTTCATTTATACTATTATGTTAAGGCGGTCGCGAGAGTAGTTAGATTTTATTAGAAAGGCTAAGATCTCTTCTGGAACGATAACCGCTGGCATACTTTCTACCGATTCGATTTCCCGCATTACCTTCGCCCTCCGATTGGTTGTTGCGTTTTTTAGTTCGCTGAATTGCCATATGCTCGAAGGTCATATTTCGCTATTACAGTAACAACTTTTGTATCAATTTCGTTTGAGTCTCTTGTTCTACCACAAATACCAAGCTACCTGCGGTTCCATCTTCTTCCTATCTTAGCTGTCAAGATTTAATGTGTTGAGCATAATTGACTGTTGTCAGTTCCGAAGAGAACTGATCGTATTAGTGAAGCCCAATCGTCTTCATTCATGAATCTGTAACATCGTAGATCGTACTGAACCCCAATAACAAAACACATGTTATTTCAACAAATTGAGTGTTTATTATTACTTTTCTCAGTAGTATATGGCTATTTTCTTTTACTTTATATTTCAAATAGTTAGCATTAGATGTTGTCAGCTATATAGCTGTCATTGTGAATATTGCTTTACTTGGCATATCTGGAACTGTACAACGTCTGTTTCCTAATTTATCTGCTTCACAGTTGATTATTTTTCTTGTTCTGATTGAAGTAAGTCAAATGACTGGCGAAGAAAGATAATAAAATATATGGTTGTTCTTTTATTTTTGTTGAGCAATACATTCAATATGCAGTTTATGTTATTGTTATTAAATGTTCTCTTTTAAAATATGTTTTGTAATTAGCTAAAATTACATCTGTGTCACTTTTTTATTTATTTCCAATGCCTCTTTTAGCTGGTCATTGAACAGACTGTTGTATATTGAATCAATAAGCACTTATAGTGTAATGTTTGAAGTGATTTATTATGTGAAATAAGTCGAAAAGATTTGTTGACAGCATTATATTATCTTAGATTACACTGTTGAGATTGTGAATGAAGAATAAATTAGCATATTATCACTATTATTATTATTAGCTTTATTCAATATTATATTTTGGTGCAATATAGAACTCTCAGCACAAAATATTTCAATGAGTTTCCGTTTCTTATTTGTTGATTGATATTGAGCAACAGCCAGTTAGACGTTAGCATTACAGAAATCGACATCTGAATAATGTTCATTCTTTTCAATCCATATTGCTAACAATCACGATATTTCCGATTGTACATTTTTGTAACTTGTACCGAGAAAGGTCGTAAACTTTTCACAAATGCACCTGAATAAGTTTTGCAATTAATTGACATAATGATCTGTTAAAATAAACAATGAAACAGATAACTTGTTGAAATATCTAGATGGCAGGAACAGATACCCCAGATTTTGAAACAGGCCTCTATTTTGTTATCATATTAGTAACAGTACAATGTAGACACGGGCAAACGTTCTTTAATTTTTATTTGAACACCGTACAAATGCAGATATATTACATCAGGATGGCTGAATATACAAAACCCTAAAAAGTTTAAAATTATGATACTGAAAATGAAACAAACATTTATTTTAGTAATTGTCCATGTTAACAATAGCAATCTATGAGTGAAATTATAGCGTCTGGTACTTTGTCACACCTACATGGATTATTCACTTTTACACGCATATACGTTCATATAAAAAGTCGATTGTAAGCGAATACCTGACATGGTCAAAATATGTGCAGATATTGGCTCAAAAAGGATAAATTAATTCATCTCTTCAAAAGTCAGAATAATCCATGTAGAGTATGATGAAGTACTAGATGCTGTAAAATTAGTGCAACAGTGGATAATTTTTATTGCTTTGTTGTAATCAAAATTTTAACTAAGTACGTTTAATTTTGTAGATCATTCAACCAGTAGTTTACGAATAATCCACTATCTTATTAGCCTGTGACTGAAATCAATCAGTCGATGGGTGAATCAAGTATAAACGTTGTTTTGTGAAACACCGCAACGTAGTGTTGTGAATTGTTGGAAGGACACTTATCCATAATCTTTATGTCTAATTTTTCAATTAATTTTTTCAAGTATGTGAGTTTTTTACAGGATAACAAGCTACCAGATAATATACAGTAATAATTTATCGACCATTCTCTCCTCTTTCTACTAGCATGCAATAATCATAACACGTGCTGCGATCAGTGCACTTGTTCCGCATACGCCTACTTCTGTTGTACTTCAGATAGCTAAATTAGAGCATCGTAGACGAGAAGCCCTTAAGGTAATTTACTTAGTTAATAGTGTTTTTAGTTTATTGATGCGTTCATTTATACTATGATTGCTGTTTAGATTCGTCTAGTCAAACTTATTTCTGTATAATTCAAGCTTACTTAAATTGAATTACGAACGGAAAGGCATTCCCTGTAACTATTCCTCTTATAGCACTATGCAATTCGATTTCAGGTTTCACGAGTGCCATGACTTCTTGAAATAGGGAATATACCATGCAAATATATCCCAACAACAACTGAGTTCTCAAACTTTTTAGTAACAAATAATACTAGCAATCAAGCACGCTTTACGGTTAATTCTTTATTAAACTATTCCTGTCTAGTAGAAAACATTCTGTGAGATATTTTATTCTTATTTCAGCTAACTTGACAAATATTAATAATCTTATTTCATTATGAAAATAAAAACTGTATGATTATAACCTGCTTAGTGTAAGAGAACAATTCTATCTACAAACCATACTATTTTAAGAACTATAAATAGAATCGTTTTTCGAAATTATGCAAATCTACACACGGACAGAAAGTGATGCGTACTCATTCAAAAAAATTGAATTTCCTCAAGTCTTGACTACTGAATCCAATACAATATTTAGTGATGCATTTTCTGCTGACCATATTGGGTATCTTGTATTTTATAAATAATTTTTACCCTATCAATTTAGACTTATCCAATATGGAAAGTCATGTTTAAATCAAACTGAATTCCTACATAGCATCGATTAAGGACTCAGAATTCAATGGATATTTCTACTTCAATCTTACAATTTTCCAATAACAAATCAAAATGAGACTTATCGAATTCTATAAACATTTTTAAGTTAGGACTTAGCTTTTAGAAATAATTACTTACTTACTTACGCCTGTTACTCCCAATGGAGCATAGGCCGCTGACCAGCATTCTCCAACCCACTCTGTCCTGAGCCTTCTTATCTAGTTCCATCCAATTCTTGTTCATTTTTCTCATGTCTATCTCCATTTCTCGGCGTAATGTGTTCTTTGGTCTTCCTCTTCTCCTTTGGCCTTCAGGATTCCATGTGAGGGCTTGTCTTGTGACGCAGTTGGGTGCTTTCCTCAATGTGTGTCCTATCCACTTCCAGCGCTTCTTCCTGATTTCTCCCTCCGCTGGGATCTGGTTTGTTCTCTCCCACAGTACGTTTTTGCTAATAGTGTCCGGCCAATGGATCCGAAGTATTTTGCGTAGACAATTGTTAATAAACACCTGTATTTTCTGGATGATGGCTTTCGTAGTTCTCCAGGTTTCTGCCTCATACAGTAAAACTGTCTTGACATTTGTATTGAAAATCCTGACCTTGGTGTTGGTTGACAGTTGCTTTGAGTTCCAAATGTTCCTCCGTTGTAAATATGCTGCTCTTGCTTTGCCGATCCGCGCCTTCACATCTGCATCAGATCTACCCTGTTCATCAATGATGCTGCCCAAATACGTAAAGGTTTTTACATCTTCCAAATCTTCTCCGTCAATTGTGATTCGATTGTTGCATGCTGTGTTGTATCGGAGAATCCTGCTTTTCCCTTTGTGTATGTTGAGACCTACTGCTGCTGAGGCTGCTGCCACACTGTTCGTCTTCTCCTGCATCTGTTGTTGCGTTTGGAATAAAAGGGCCAGATCATCTGCGAAGTCTAGATCATCCAACTGCATCTTAGATGTCCATTGTATCCCGCGCTTCCCTTCAGACGTTGACGTCTTCATGATCCAGTCGATTACCAGGAGAAAGAGAAAGGGTGAGAGTAAGCAACCTTGCCTAACACCGGTCTTCACTTCGAACGCCTTTGTCAACTGTCCTCCATGCACAATTTTGCAGTGTAATCCATCATATGAACTCTGTATGATATTGACTATCTTCTGAGGCACACCGTAGTGTCAAAGAAGTTTCTATAGTGTTGTTCTGTTCACGCTATCAAATGCCTTTTCGTAGTCAATGAAGTTGATGTAGAGTGATGAATTCCATTCAATTGATTGTTCCACAATGATCCGTAGAGTTGCGATTTGGTCTGTACACGATCTATCCTTACGGAATCCTGCCTGTTGGTCACGAAGTTGGATGTCTACGCAGTTCTTCATCCTGTTTAACAATACCCTGTTGAAGACTTTTCCTGGTATTGAGAGAAGAGTGATGCCCCTGTAGTTATCACACTTGCTGAGATCGCCTTTCTTCGGTATTCTGATCAGAAGTCCTTCTTTCCAGTCTTTTGGTACTTGTTCCCCATCCCAAATCTTATTGAAGAGAATGTGGAGTATCCTTGCAGTTGCCGCTACGTCTGCTTTTAGTGCCTCTGCTGGGATGTTGTCCGGTCCTGCTGCTTTGCCACTCTTGATTTGTCTGATGGCCATGCTGATTTCTTCAATTGTTGGTGGGCCAACATTGATTGGGAGGTCCGTGGGTGCTGCTTCGATGTTGGGTGGGTTCAGTGGAGCTGGTCGATCCAAGAGTTCTTTGAAGTGTTCTACCCACCTGTTTTGTTGCCTTTCAATGTTGGTGATTACCTCGCCTTCCTTGCTTTTCACTGATCGTTCTGATTTGCGGCGATTTCCAGAGAGTTTCTTTGTCGTGTCATACAATTGTCTCATGTTTCCTTCTCTTGCAGACTTTTCCGCCGCCGTTGCTAAATCTTCCACATATTTACGTTTGTCGGTTCTGATGCTCCTCTTCACTTGTTTGTTTACTTCTGTGTATTCAGCTTGTGCCTTGTCTTTTTCTGCTCTTGTTCGACTGGTATTGATTGCTGCCTTCTTGTTCCTTCTTTCTTGAATCTTATCCAGTGTATCAACAGTAATCCATTCCTTGTGATGGTGCTTCTTGTGACCCAGGACCTCATGACATGTTGAAGTGATTGCCTCTTTGATCCCCTTCCAGTTGCTCTCCACAGTAGTTCCTTCTCCATTGAGTAGATCATGAAAGGCCTGGAACTTGTTGCTGAGGACTATCTTGAATTCGTTGAGTTTGTTAGTATCCTGAAGAAAGGCCGTATTGAACTTTTGTGATATTGTCCGCCCTGTTGTCCAGTGTTTCTTGAGTTTCAATTTCATCTTGGCGACTAGCAAGTGATGATCTGATGCTATATCAGCTCCTCTCTTGGTTCTCACGTCCTCTATAGTCCTCCTGAACGTTTTGTTGATGCAAATATGGTCGATTTGATTTTGTGTAGAGTGATCCGGTGAAGTCCATGTGGTTTTGTGTATGCGTTTATGTGGGAATATGGTGCCGCCTATGACCAGGTTATTGAAGGCACATAGATTTGCAAATCTCTCACCATTTTCGTTTCTTTCTCCCAGTCCGTGTCGTCCCATGATGTCTTCATATCCAGTGTTGTCCGTTCCAACCTTGGCATTGAAATCTCCCATCAGAATGATCAGGTCTTTTGTTCGGCACTTCTCGATGATTGACTGCAGCCTATCATAGAATTGATCTTTAGCGTCTTCATTGTAGTCGTTGGTAGGCGCATAGCATTGGATGATGTTCATTGAAATACCCTCTTTCTTTGTTTTGAAGGAGGCTTTGATGATCCTTGGTCCATGAGATTCCCATCCTATAAGCGCATTTTGCGCTTGTTTGGACAGCATCAATGCAACTCCTTGTGTATGTGGTGCATTTTCTTCTTCATGGCCGGAGTATAACAGGAGCTTTCCTGTAGTTAGTCGTTGTTGTCCAACTTGTGTCCAATGTGTTTCACTGATCCCAAGTACCTCTAGGTTGTATCTTCTCATTTCTGCAGCAATTTGGAAGGCTCTCCCGGTGTCCCACATTGTACGAACATTCCATGTACCTAAATAAATGGTCGCTCTGGTTGTCAGAAGGGGCATCGGCCTTGTAACTTCCGAAGGAATTCGGCTTTCATCATGAGGCGTCATAATTCTTCTAAATGAAGACCTTCTGACTCCTAGGGCAGAGTTTAAAAGGTTTGAATAATTTTTTCTGGTTAGCGTTTTTTTAGCGAGTTAGTTTTCTACGGGATGGGGACGCTAACCCCATGCCCAACCCTCCTCCTTTATCCGGGCTTTGGACCGGCAGTAGCCCCCGGAGGGACTCCAAGCGGAGTTTTTTAGAAATAATAATAGTTCTTAATTAGTTTTAATGAATCTAGTTGAATAGATGTTTACTGATCCATTGTAAAATTGGTTATTAACACAGTATAATGTTTAAAATAATGAGAATTAACAAAAATTATCCTTCAGCTTATCGCTCCTCAATCTGAAGTCAAATAACGCACAATATCCAATTGTTAGGCTGCATCGGAATGTCTGAGATTCTTGACATATATTCTTCAAGTATTAACGGTAAAGCTAGTTCAGGAGGTAAATTGATTACAAAAGAACTATGTTTAATTGAATGTGAGTCAGTCGAATCTAAACGAACATTTCCTAAATACCTAGTTGAGAATTTTATCTTACTTCAGTCTGAACAGATAAATTATATCATTAGCGCAGTTTTGGAAATTAAGCCCAGTTCAAGAGCATAACATCATATTAGAATGAATTTATTATCAGATTATATGTTTTTGTTTTGCTTTACCATCATGTTAGATACTTGAACGTGAATCGATGCGTGAACATCAACGTCAACAATCACCTTCTAATATATGAAAACCTCACAACAGAATTTGTATGAAGAATTCATTAACCTTGCCGTACTTTACTTCATGTCATTTTGATTTGATAAATGCAACTGACCAAATAAGCAATATTTCATTTTTTAATAACATTCTTTATATGAAAAACACCAATGAAATATGATTTTCTACTACTTATTTCTAACTTATTATCAGCTTAATTTACCGCAATATTTTCTTGGTGATGTAATATTTATTTCTGTATTTTTTTGAATTAAATGATATTTTATCCTTTTTCAAATACAAACTGTTCAATAAATAACAGCTTTCCTATTTTAGTATATGTTCTTATATGAAAACGCATTCAAGTGATCTAGGCATGTTCAAGTTCACTTAGTGGATTCTAAACCAGTTCGCTTCGGAAGTTGAATAATCTCGTCAATCTTCGGATAAACGTATACAAGTTTCGTACACTTGTAGATAAGCGCAAAGAGGTGAGTCTGTTATTATTGGATCTACACTGGCCTGTCACTGAGTAGTGGCCAATGGGACGTTTATCAAGTCTTACTTACGCCTGTTACTCCCAGTGGAGCATAGGCCGCCGACCAGTATTTTCCAACCCACTCTGTCTTGGACTTTCCTTTCTAGTTCTATCCAATTTTTGTTCATCCGAAGTATTTTGTGTAGACAACTGTTAATAAACACTTGTATCTTCTGGATGATGGCTTTCATAGATCTCCAGGTTTCTGCCCCATACAGCAGAACTGTCTCGACATTTGTATTAAAAATTCTGACTTTGGTATTGGTTGACAATTGTTTTGAGTTCCAGATATTCGTCAATTGTAAATATGCTGCTGATGAAGTCCTTGTGCGAGTATTTGGTTTTGTACTAATAAGTTCTTAGAAAAGTGGAAAGTAAAAATTGATAGTTTGATGACAGGCGTACTAGTTAAGATAAGAATAAAACCGGCTTCAGTCAATGTTTCATGAGAGAAATTAGTCCGATTTGAAAAGAGATACTGAAATAACATTCATTAAAATCATGAAGTTACGCAATGTTCGGATGATTGGACAGTGAAGAGCATATTTGAAGACACTGAGTGAGAAAAATAAGCAACTTAAAATTGTTGGAGTTAATAATGAGTAAAATATTCAGGATGGGTTGCGGAGATAATTGAGTTTCATTAAAACCCTGAGCCGATCTATTTTACATCACCATTGAAAACATGGAAGCACTGAGGGTGGACACGCAATGCCAAGGAATCCCATATTAAGACGAAACAGTTGTCCAGTGCTTCCAAATTTCCAATAGTAGCCTAACATTGATCGGTTCTTGGTTTTAATTATATAAGTAAAGTCGTTTGTAAAGGCTTATTCGACCAAGGAAGAGATAAGGGTGTTACGAATTTCTTATGAACACAGAGGTTTGGATTGTTAGCTCAATCACTATGGCTTCTGCTGTGTAAGAGAGGAGATCGAACACCATAAAGAAAGCCGATTGGTGTACGACAAATTACTTGGAATGATTTGTTTCTATTCACAAAATGACCGCTATCGAGAAAGTGGGGCAGATTAGACCTGCGTTTTGAGCATATTCTTTCCTAAACATGAAGGGAGTTGTTCATCAGCTCGTTCACCCAGCTGTTTGGTTATACGCCTGATATAGCCTTTTCCACAGGAGCAGCTGGATTCGTAGATATACATTGATGTGACAGAACCAGGCAACTTATTCTTTAGTTGATGAACCACCATAGGTCGGCTAGAAAACGATATATAGAGGTTATCTGAATTAAACAACATTTTTATTGCTTGAGTCAAGTTATCTCGTAGTACATCGCTAGCTATATCTCCATTGAATTGTAGCTTCAGGAAGAGAGGTTTCTTACTAACCATCTATGTTGCTATTTCCTGGTTCATTATATACGAGTTTAAGAAAACCTTGTGCACAACTCATTTCACTCGACATATTACGAATGTGCTCTAGTTCTTTGTTTATGGTGTTGTCTGAGCATATCTCCCTAGTTCTACTTGCAAGACATCTAACTGGGTTTATCTTGTGACGAATGGGTACAAATTTCAGAAAGTGTGTGTACTTGCTTATTGAAGAACTTTTCCTATATAAATTTCTACTGATAGGAATATTTTCTTTTCTGTTTAACATAACATAAAAGAAATGCAACTTGTTATCCAATTCCCCCGCACACACCTAATTTCTGAGTGTATTTTTTAAAATCGCCCTAAGAGATTTTTTCTGATGTTCTGATCAACGATGATGAAGCTGTTATCAATCCGACGGCAACAAAAGTTAAGCTTATCAATCACTTCCTTGAGAGGTTCAATTTTTAGTTTCACGAGAAAAAAGTTGAAGAATAGGATCTAAAGGTGAACCCATCGCTTATTCACTGGATAAAATGAATGTGAAACTGGTAAAACTAATAACGACAAGATTTCGAAGTGATTGACTTGAGTTTATTGTATGAAAAAAGCAAGTGTACACAAATAATCCTTTATTTAGTCTAAATCCACGCCATATTTTCTTGACGAGTTACTTGAAAATTAATATTTGGAATTGCAAAACAGTTGGTTATATAGAATGAAACATCACATCCATCTACCATGCATATAAGAACAGATGTATCTGGCTGTAGACCAACTTTTATCAAACTTTTAGATTCTATGTCTGGGTATATTTGTTTTGGTGACAAAACAGATAAAACATAATCAGGATGAGGAGGGGAGCGTTTAGAGAAGTTAATAATACGTCTTTTCTCTGTATGATTGTTTCCATAAATATCATAGAGTAGATTTAGATCCTTCGTTGACTTAACAGATTTATCACTGGCAGGTTGTACAATCTCTTGTAAATTATGCATAAGATCGGTGATAGAATGTATTGTATTATGATTAACAAGTGGTTGAAAGTCTATGGACTTTCTCTTTACGATAGGTTTTCTATATTCTTGGTTTAAAAGTGGATAGGTTGTAATTGAAACGTTAATTGATTTTGGAATTTTAAATAATTTATCTGTCACACAGTGGTAATATGATTGTAGGTCAAAATTTGCTCGTTTTCGAAGACTGAAATTTAATCGTGATAATCGAGAGTAGGCCAGATAGTATGGATATGTTTCATTGTTTAAAAGCTGATCGTAAAGTTCTTGAATACTCAGTGGTAAACCACTAACAATTACTTGGATTTTATTACATTCAGCAAGGTATAATGCTTCTTCTGGATGAAGATAAGATGAGCCATCAAGAGAGAAACCCATTATACGGAAATACTTCCCACATATTTGTGAAAGACGAACTCGACCGTTTTCGATTACGCCTTTGGATAAGCGTGCTGAAGCACGGGCGAACTCTTGAGATAGACCTGACAGTAATTCCGCATAAGCTTTATCAATTTCATTTTCTGAAATGGGTTCGAACAAACATTTACGTTTACACTTTTTTAATTTAGTTTCGTAAGAAACGTCGGAATGTGCAGATAATTCTTTGCCAATGATAAAATGATCCTAAATCATAATGAATTCGATTTACTCAATAGGATCATACCATGATGACTGATCCGGAGAAACGGACTGCTGAGACCAAAATGCTAAAATAAAAAACAACTTGGTTTAATGAAAGTTAGACTAAACAAACACGAAATTACCAATCACGAAAACAGTTTCCTTTATTATATGATTTTTACGAGTAGCACTACCTTCATCACTGGCCGATAGCTGGATAACAACTGTAAATCACGATCAATTTCTGTTCCTACGCACATTTCATGGAACACTAATGAACCTGAAATAAGGCTAGGTGACATATGCGTAAAAGACTCAACAAAGTGGGTTTTTATTCAGTACTATGTATTACATGTATGTAAAAAAGAAACAGTAACAACTACCGCATTCGATACGGACATGTACGATTTAGATGTCATGATTCACTCAAAGTGTACCGTCCATCCTCATGTTGCAAAGTTCGAGTAGACTTATCGCCTCAACCCAAGAAAGTACGGAGCTTAGCAACAGAAGCTAACGCAGACACTGGCCCTGAAGCCTCAATATTCAGCAGGTAATGTCTCAGTAAGAAATTGGGTAGTTTCAAAGTCCGCTTCCGAATGTGACTTAAAATTGGAGTAGGGTCCAGACTTTCCAAGTCAGAAATGTGTGAATGATGTACTAATTATGTCTTCTACGCAAGATATTGAATGTCCGTTGGTCGGATACCATCAGCAACAGCCTACTATGTGAGAGAACACACCAACCTCCAGCTGAAGAGGAAATTAAGAAAAGGCAGTGGGAGTGGACAGGACATACATTGCGGAAATCCTCAAACTGCATCATGAAACAATCGCTAAATTGGAATTCTGAGGAGAAACGGGAAGAGGAAGGCCAAAGAACACACTGCACCGAGAATTAGAAGCAGATATCAAAAAGACGAATAGCAACTGAAAAGGGCTGCTCAGGACAGAGTTCGATGGAGAATGCCAATAGGAAGTAACAGGCGTAAGTCAACTAAGTAACTATGTATATTTATTTGGTTTAAATTTTTTATGAGCGTATATTTTTGAACCGCAGTCTGATTAACTGCTTCATATCAAATGAATTAGTTAGAAGTGGAGATTAACCTGAAAGCTACCCCAATTTCGGTTACTCATGTTCTCTATGAGCTGATTCTCGAGTAGAAACTACAACACTATTACACCAAAAGCAGAACTTTATCAAAATATTGGACCAGTATAACGTCTGAGGTAGGATAGGAGGGTGAACATACAGCTCAGACGATACATAAATTTAACTATGCACAAGTTGTACAGAAAACGCATTCGTCGAAAAAATTCCCTCATATCATATGAACTATCAACTATGGACATCAGACAAGTGCCGAAGATCGACCTTGGTGTTGTACTTTCATTTGCTGTTTGCCATAAAGCAGATGGAGGAGTTGAAATCTCAGTACCACCCAGAATAGCAATGGCAATCTATAATTGCTTTACCAAACCGTTTTAACTACCACCTCTTCCTGTTAAGTACACTATGTAGGGTTATAGCCAGTCATCTCTGACTTTTAAAACTTATCGAACAGAAGTTGTCCAAATAATGAACTAATAGACATGTGGTCAAATTCTATGGAACAGAAATATTTTTTGTAATATAATGGCAAAAAATCAATTGTTAGAGTAACATTTTCCTCTGGATTGTGTGAAATTCATAGTCGACATCAATTCGGCGAATCATAGTATCCCATATGTTTCTCAGAGTAACTTGTACCTAATTTTCTAACAAAATTAATTTCACCCCCCAAACTTCCTGAACGCAACTCACTTTTTACAAGGTTTGGTC